CCACTGCTGACACTGAGGCTCTCGCCCTGGTGAAGTCGGAGCTATCGAAGAGACACACGTGCACAGACCTAGGTGAGCTGCGGAGCTACCTTGGCTTGCAGATCACCCGGGACAGAGCACGCCGCACCATCACTCTGACTCAGTCACACATGGTGAAGCAGGTCCTTCAGCGCTTCGGCTTCACCTGGTCCTCGCCACAGTCCACTCCTCTGGCTACAGGTCACTCGCTCTCAGCTCCACCTTCGGACGAGTCCGTAGAGCCGAGTGGTCCTTACCCAGAGTTAGTGGGCTGCCTCATGTACCTGATGACCTGCACTCGTCCTGACCTTGCGTACCCTCTTGGCCTTCTGGCCCGTTACGTGGCTCCTGGTCGACACCGAAAGGTGCACTGGGATGCTGCGAAGAGGGTACTGCGCTACTTGTGCAGTACGTCGGGCATGGGGCTCGTGCTTGGAGGGTGGAGAGACGTGGTCCTCACTGGGCACTCAGACGCTTCTTGGGTTGACGACCAGGCTACGCAGCGGTCGTCACAGGGTTAAACTTTCAGCCTTGGCTCCGGTTCTGTTTCTTGGCATTCTACTCGCTCGTCTTCTGTTCTCAGCTCCAGTTGTGAGGCTGAGATCTACGCCACTGCCATGGCTGCTCAGGAGTTACGCTGGCTCACTTACCTGCTGACTGACTTGGGAGAGCGGCCTCGTTCTCCTCCAGTGCTGTACGTCAACAACAAGGCCGCCATTGCCTTGTGTGAGGAGCACAGAATGGAGCACAGAACGAAGCACATCGCTCTGCGTTACTTTCTGGCTCGAGAGTTGCAGCAGCGTGGTCAGCTTCGTCTTGCACACGTGGCCACTCAGGCCAACACTGCTGATATATTCACCAAGGCACTTCCGTCTGGTGACCATCAGCGCTTTTGTACTTTGTTGGGCCTTGTGCCTGGGTACGTCTCCACACTTGCTGTAGACTTTGCTTGTACTGTGATCTATATATATATACCTGCATGCTTGCTCTTGCTAGGTAGTGATCACTGTACTGTTCTTGTTGCATATATACCTCTGCATGTGAACTGGCCTTGTGGCCCTTTGCTTGTGCTCAGTGTGTGTGGTGACGTTGTGATCCACCCTGAGCTTGCTTTGCTTTTCTTGACTGGTCTTGTGACCCCTTGCTCTCCCCCACTTTGCCTATGGGGGTGTGTCAAATTATATATGCTGCATATTGTGTAGGCTGTAGTGGGGTAGCCCATATGGGGTACAACCCAATTAGGGTTTACTACTTGTACTCCTGCATGCTGCTAGTTCATTCATTCCTGCCTAGGCTTTCTAATAGCTGCATGGTGCGAAAATGTTACAGCACAGTACAAGCAGATGGCCAAGGTGGCGGTGGACATCGTGGGCCAAATTGGCTGGCATAAGCGAAGTGGCGTAATAGACGGTGTTGTACTGTTCTCCAAACTACCGGTATCGTACGTGAAGTTTGGTAGCAAGTAAGGTGACAATCTGTTGCACAATAGGTCATCTGCTCGATTCCCGCTGTCTCTGCCTCGCCCTGGTATATTTTAGGCCCAGAAACCCAGGAGATTTTTCGTACAGTACACAGGGCTGACGTTTCAATTTGGGCCTCCCTGATTCTGGGGAAAAATTTCCCCCTGTATTATGAGGGCACATTTTCCACAAGGTAGTCACTCTGATTGCTTAGTGTTGAAAATTAGTTAACTTTGATTGTTCAGGGTCGAGAATTGAACATCACTGTAGTAACAAGCACTTTGTTTAACGGGGAAAAGAGCTCACTCCGGAAAATCACAACACAGCGCGACATCATTTCGGACACACCTCGTGCGTGCTAATGTTCAGGGCCCGTGCTAGGATTTGGGGCACCCTGAGCCCTCAGGGCAACTTTCCAAAATCTTAAGATTGCCCTGATTTGTCAGGGCAAATTTCCAGAGGCATCCTGTAGTTTCAGGGCTTCAGCAGAAATTAATCTTGACCTGTCAGGATTACGGTATGTTCTAGCACTTCTAGTCGGGCCTATGTATGTGTACTACTGCTTTGGTGTTGTACTGGCTGGCACCAACATTGTCCTAATAATCCAGGCCTCTAGACCACCAGACCAGTCACCACCACCAGACCATACCACCAGATAAAGTTTGAGAGGTTATCCCCCCCCCCCCCCCCCAACCAGCCACCCCCTCCCCCCCTCTCCCTTTCAAAAAACGCATCAGGGCAAGCCTCTACATTCATCCTGACGCTACAGGGAAGAACATTACGACCATCCTAAATTTCCAGGGCATATCAAACAACAACATCCTGAGATCACAGGGTAAAAAATAACATCATTCTGAAACTACAGGGCAAATTCAGAACTGCATCCTGAAATTAGGGTAATCAGGATGTTTTGCCCTGATATCGTGGGGCTTGCTAATGTTTGCCCCGTTTGTTTTCACAAAATGAAATTTCTCCACACGTTTTTTTTACGAAACACGATTTCGGTCAATCAAACAGTTCGAAAACACAGATGTGGCAATATTTTCTATTCGCCGATCACCCGCGATTCGCCAACTTCGTTGTGCGAAACGCCAAAGTGTTAGTGTAACTTCACGCACACGCTAACACGACATTACAACCAACCTCTCAAACTTCGTGAATCGATCACAAATATAGTTGTCAGAAACTACAGGCAGGAAATAAGAAACAGGAAAGAGGATTTTCACTAGCAGGCAGTTGAGTACATATAGCAAACCCTAATTTGGGCTGTACTCGCTATAGAGTACCCCACTGCAGGCTAGACAAACATCACATTCTGACACACCCCCATAGTCAAAGTGGGGTACAATCAACACAGCAAGCAGTCATAGAGCAGGTTCACAAATACAAGCAAAGCTAGAGGCAGTCACAGAGGGCAAGTGAGGAGGAGGAGGGACTGTGAGAGGAGTGGAGATAGGAGGCGTCGGGTGAAGCCGCAGACACACGGGCAACAGGAACGGCGCGCACGGCAGCTACCAGAGCACTCAACCTCCGGACTACAGGAGTAACTGGCTCCGCACTAAGCTGCAGGAGCAACGGACCCACGGGCGGCTGGCGCAGCAGGCTCGCTGGGCTACCGGAGTACTCAACCCCCGGACTACTGGCGCTGCTGACGTCACAACGACTACCTTCGGTCAACCTCCCCCAACTGTCCCACACCCCTTTCACACACCCCCTGCTGTACCTCTAGCACTGCTCACACGCCACCCCCCTAGTACCACTCCGACGGCTCCCACACATCCACCCCCCTCAGCGGTAGCTGCAGCAGTGGGAGACGGAGGAGGAGGAGGAGCAGGGGACGGCGCACACACCCGTCACCCCCATACTCGCCACCCCCACACTCGCCACCCCCAAACCCTAACACAGGCAGCAGCGGGGACAGCGCGGGCAGCAGCTCGGGGGGGGCGGCGCGCGACTCCCCACGGCGCCGCGACAGGGCAGCGGGGGCCATGCGCGGTTCCCCAGGGCGTCGCGACGAGACAGCGGGGGCCGCGCGCGGCTCCGCAGGGCGCCGCGACGAGGCAGCGGGGGGCCGCGAGCGGCTCCCCAGGGCGTCACGACGAAGCAGCGGGGGCCGCGTGCGGCTCCCCAGGGCGCCGCGACGAGGCAGCGGGGGCCGCGCGCGGCTCCCCAGGGCGTCGCGACGAAGCAGCGGGGGCGACGCGACCGTCGACGGGGGGGCGACGCACGGGTCGACGGGGCAGAAAACCGCCGCGCGCCTCGGGGCGCACGGCGGGCAGAAAACCGCCGCGCGCTTCGTGCGCGCGGCGAGCAGAAAATAAAACCGCCATGCGCCCCGGGCGCGTGGCAGGAAGAAAAAACGTCGCGCGCCACGGGGCGCGCGACAGACAGGACAGCAGCGGAAGCTAACGGTGGGCCCACAGGCCAGGAGCGTAACCGCTCTGATAGCATGTCAAAATAGCAGGCTGAAACAAGAAACAGGAAAGAGGATTTTCACTAGCAGGCAGTTGAGTACATATAGCAAACCCTAATTCGGGCTGTACTCGCTATAGAGTACCCCACTGCAGGCTAGACAAACATCACATTCTGACAATAGTGTACTAACCTATCGGACATGCTGCTTTGCGCTGCTCACACGCTCACCTATACCGCGACCAATCCGAAGGTGGTGTTATCAGAACGAAATTTCCGAGAAACTTCCTCCCGATAAGTTCAAATTCAGGGACCACAGAGTCGATACTCTGTTAAGTCAGGGTCCACTAACAGGATAGTCTGTTACACTACACTCAAAATCAGGGGTAGGAAAACTACTAATCTGATTGGATCAGTGTTGAAAAAAACATAAATATGAAATCTCAGTCTCTACAAATTGGGAAGTCTGAAATCACCCTGAAATCAGGGTAATTACACAGATAAAAACAGCCCTGACAGTACATCTCGCTTCAGGGCGAGATTCGACACTATCTCGAGTCGTCAGGGCCGAACCTACTGGGTTATCCTGAGGTTTCAGTACACAAAATAACCATTATACTGATTTGACAGGACACGTTATTCCCTTATGCTATTTTTTCAGGAGAAGCACATGAACCTATCCTGAATTTATTAGAATCAAAATAAATTATCCTGATAACATAGGCCCTGCCCCGGATATAATACCCCCCCAAAATAGAACACCCCCAGGTAGCTAATACGGGGGGGAGTGTTTATTTAGCAAGATTTTTGTTATGCTTTTTTTTTAGGGGGTGAACATTATAAGACCCTCCCCCCTCCCCTATAGGGGGGTTTCTAGTGAAGATATGAATAATTTAGAAATAAATTTCTAAATTTAATGATTGTGACAAGATTCGAAAAGGGGGGAATGCAATAAGGAGTCATTCTCCTCTTATCCCTCGGCAGGTCCACAGACCTGCCACCTAGTCTCATTTCATCCATCTCAGTTTGAGTTGGCGCACATTCTCTCTTATGCCTAGGTCTCAACCCTCAACCCTGCTTAACGATGTTTTAACTGCAAAACTTAACAACATGGCTAGCGGATTTGTTTCCGCAATTAACGGTCGTCCCCCTCCTGCTCGCATTAATACCCGGAGCTCGTCCAGGCGTGGGTCACCAAGACGAGACGATGACCGAATTTTTACTTCTGGGAGGGATCGTTCCCGTTCGCCCAGAAACGAGTCTCGTGGAGGAGTCACAGCTCTCGATTTAATTGGTGCAGCAAATCGTGGGACCAATCGTCGAAACGAGGATCGCGCACCCACTTCTCCGACGGGCGCCCGTAACAATCTCCCTCGCGAACCTGCAAGCGCAACCGACGCAGGAGCAGGAACGCGCAATGTCGGCACCCCTGCACCTCGCGCCAACCGTAATGAGGAGGGACCGCCTGGATTTATCAACCAGGTCAACCCCCCTCTCGCCACTGTATCAGCCCAGGGGCGCGTGCCAGGCCAGCAGCAGAGGCACGCGCAAGTGGAGCAAGGACCCGCGCCTCAGGCCCCTCAGGCCCCTCAGGGACACGCGTCAGTCCGAGGCAGGCACGTGCGTGAGGAGCACACGCCTCGCGCGCCTGCTGCACCAGAGCGCGTGGCGAATCTTTCGCCTGGCGAAAATTCACGGCGTCCGGTACAGCAGAATCTCGACAAAATCGGGACGGCGCGTGCTGCTGCTCGTTCGGATTTCGCGGCGATGCTGGGAAATCTTGACCACTCTACCCAAGCGAATCTTCTCTAGATTCTGACACAACTTTCGGGAGAACCTACAAGACCCGCTATGGAGCGCCCTGTTTCACCAGCGCCGGCGAACATTCGGGCTACACCTTCGCGGAGCGACCATATGGAGTATTGGAATATTAATTACGCGCCGCACAACGTCGACACGCTTCACCAAATGTCGGAGCTTCTTGCGCTGCTCCAGCGCAATCACGCCAGCGGCCGGCCTGCCCCTGCGGAAAACCATCGCCCAGCAACTCGTCACGTCGAAGCCCTCGAGGCGGCCGAGGAAGAAGAGGATGGCGAACACGGCATTTTCGAAGAGATGAACGAAGGTAATGGCCCTTGCTCCTGTCAACGGGAGTTGTGTGTTGGCCCCGTCCTCGCTTGGGCGGAGCCGACTTCGTGGTCGGGTGTAGGGGTGCAGCCGACCTGCAGCAGTGGGCGAGCTGGTCGACGAGGAAGTCGACCTGCACGGGTGCCACTGCATGGGCGCCGACTTCAGGAAGGTCGACCTGGGAAGTCGACCTGCGGAGGGCGTCGACTTGGTGACGCCAACTTGGGGCAGCCGACTTGGGTGGTCGGCTGACAAGACTGCTGATTGACCTGGTGGTTGGTCGACCAGGCCTGCTGGTCGACTTGGTGGTTGGTCGACCAGGTGTGATGTCGACCTGGTGATCGACCGAACACGGTGGTCGACGAAGGAGGGGCCGACGTCGACCTCGACAGAGGGATTCAGGACGCCGAACAGATGGGCGTCGAGTAGCAGAGCGTCAACTTGGTGACACCAACTTCCGATAGCCGACTTGGGTGGTCAGCTGAGCTGGTCGACGAGGAGCAGGTCGACCAGGAGTGATGTCGACCTGGAGCTGGTCGACCAGGGGTAGTGGTCGACCTGGTGAGGTCGACTTGGAGTGGTCGTCGACTTGAGAGGTCAACGGGCACATACAGGAGCAACTGGTCGACGTGGTTGCCCGGTCGACCAGGTTACCTGGGTGACGAGGTTCTGCGGAAGAGTGCGACGGTCGCCCAGGTGGTTTTGGCGAGACCGACCTTGGTGGTGGTATCCCGAGGTCGACGTGGCTGATCAGAAGCAGTCGTCAGCACGAAGTTGACGTGGTGTGTGCGCTGTGCAGGTGACGAGGCACTGCACGCCAATCATCTGCGAGCACCTGCGAAGCTGGTGCGCTGCTGTCCTGCAGGAGCAACGTTGGCACGCCGTCAACCTGCGACGTTGGTACGCCGTCGACTTGCAGCGTTGGCAAGCCGCGCCTCTGCACTGCTGGAGCGCGGTCGACCAAGTCGTGCTGGCACGCGGTCGACCATGCTGCGCTGGCAGTAGCCTTGCTTGCATGCTAGCTCTGATGTAGTCTAGTCTTGCCAACTTTATTGTACCATTGTTGTCAACTTTCTCTAGTGAAACTCTTGCCAAATTGCCCCGTGAACTAGCAAGCAGTGTGTGCACTAGGAAAACGACTAAGGACCAAGGAACGCAGAGATCACACGAGCACCCGTGTCTAACCCGTAGTCTAGCTCCCGTTGTAGTAGTTATCTCCGCAGCTCCCTCCCGCACGCTCATCCTCCACACTCCTCATCGGCGCTCATCCCAATTCCCCCATCACATCCCCAACTGCGATCGGCGCTCGTTAAGAGCGAAGGAGTTCGCACTCAAATGTTTGGTTTTGAAATGATTCAAAAATTTCTCGTCACACGTTGAGCGTTTTGCTCTCCGAGGGAAGTGAACAAGCGGCTCTCTACATAAAAGAGATTGAGCAAGAGGCCGAAGAAAAGATTATGTTCTTATTCACCGCCGACCAACGCGGGTTTGACGTGGCAAATGTGGCCTTAAAGATTAAGTACGGGGAGGTGGTTGAGGATAAGACGGTAAAATCCGCTGCCCAAATCGTGGCTGCAATGAAAAAGAGTCGCCCCAACCGTAACTCCTTTCCCCAGCGGTTCAACCAGAATAACCGCGGCAGGGGTAACGGTGATCGTTCGTGGAACAAATGGCGCCGCTACGGGGATGGACGTTGCTTCCTATGCCGCGAGCTCGGCCACGGTATTGCTCAATGCCCCCAGCGCGAGCAAGGGGCGAACCAGCTTGCACGCATAGTCTAATTGGCTATTTTCATATCTTGAGTGAAATGTCTTGTATTGCGGATGCGGAAAATGTTTTAAATGACATAAGCTTTCAAGATTCGAACATCATTTACATTTATTCCACGAGCTGGGTAGGCTCATCTCTCCCACTCCCAGGGTCAGCCTTTGATACAAAAAAAAAAAACTAAACTCTCTTGCATTTAATTGCTGCCAACCACCCCCCCAGGCACACCAATGCGCCTCGTGCTTTCACATCCAATCACGCTCACATGCGAGGTCGGTTACGCGAATGCGTTACGTGGTGGTCCACATGGTGTGACAGCAGTTTCATACTTTCTGTCATCTCGCATGGCTATCAGTTACCATGGGCAAACACCGAGCCCGCACCTCGCCGTGCACCTAACTACCCGGGCGCAACACAGCATAGCGTCTTCACCACAGAGGCAATTGCCGAGCTCGTAGCCACTGGCGCAGCTCGTGTTCTCCCGTCGCGAGCCAAGAATATATGTTCCAGTCCGCTGAACGTAGTCGTACAACCGACCAAGAAGCGGCTCATCTTTGACTTGAGGCATGTGAACAGTTTCCTGCGCATGTCTAAATTTTGCTACGAGGGATTGAACCGCATTCCCGATCTCGTTCAGCAGGGTGATTGGTTATTCACAATTGACCTCAAATCCGGATACCATCATGTCGATATTCACTTTCGTTACTGGCATTTTTTTGGACTCTCTTTCCACGGCGTGGAATATCAGTTTTGCTCGCTCCCCTTTGGACTCGCGACCGCACCATTCGTATTCACTCAACTGATCAAACAGCTAGGGCATTCGAGTTGTTCCTTACGTCGACGATATCCTCTTTATGAGCGCGAGCCATACCAGCGCGCTGCGTTCTCAAAGAGTCATTCTCGAAGTCCTTCGATCCACTGGCTTCCTTTTGAACACAAAAAAATCACAGCTCGAGCCAGTGCAGCGCCTCAAGTTTCTTGGCCTACTCCTGGACACCAGGGACCTGTCTTTCTCGGTCGACCCGGAGCATCGCACTCGCCTTCTTGAAGAAATGCATCTCACTTGCGTGGAGGGCACTAACAAACGTATCATCCCAGTTCGTCGTCTCGCGCGCATCACCGGCATGCTAGCATCCATGTCGCTCGCGCTCGGCACTGTGGCCCGCGCATTCTCTCATAATCTGCTCACACAGATAGCAGAATTCCCGTCTTGGGGTCATCGAGTTCTCCTTTCCAATAGCTCAGTCGACGAGCTCAAGTTCTGGATGGCGCACTTCGACGAGTTTAACGGCTCTCGATTTCATAACCCACACACATACGAAGCGGTCATCTACGTCGACGCGAGTGACATTTCTTGGGGAGCAATACTTTCTGATCTCAAAACTAAGTTACAACCGCTCTCTGCTCCCATGCCCCACTCCTTGTCCGCTACCTCTAGCACACTCCGTGAAATCACCGGTATTCTCTGGGCACTCACCTCCTTTGCCCCGGGCATACGCGACCAACATGTCCTACTGCGCAGCGAGAGCCAAGCTGCCTACTACATCATGCGGAATGGAGGTTCTCGACGTATGGAGATTACCCTTGTCTGCCGCGCGATCATCCAGCTCTGCGTCAGCTACCGCATCCGTTTGACGGTTCAATGGATTCCTCGTGAGCTCAATACGGAGGCTGACGACCTGTCCAAGGTCATCCACTACGATAACTATTCGCTTCGGTCTCCTTGGTTTCGCCTTGTCGATCGACGATGGGGACCCCACACGATCGACCTGTTCGCGACATCCACCAACCACCAGCTGCCCTGCTTTTGCACGCTCGTCTTCCACCCCCGTGCAGTGACGCAAGATGCCTTCTCCATCAGTTGGCATGCGGAGAATGCATACGCATTCCCACCACCATCCTTGATCCCAGCGGTTATCGCACATGCACGTCGCTCGCTCGCTAGGCTATCGCTCCTTGTCCCTCGCTGGCCTAGTGCCTTCTGGTGGGCCCATTATACTCCCGGACGGTACTTCATGTGCCCCCTTCATACTAGACCATCTGGTGCTTCCCCTAGGTGCTTCTTGTCTCGCACTAGGTAGTGATATTCGTGCGTTTAGTGGAACCGGGCTACCTAACTCGCCCCTCATTGCTTTTCGTATGGGTTTTTCTCTATAATAAATCATTCCTGCGTGGCAGCATCGGATATTTGTAGGCTTCTTCTGGACCTGCTGACACTCACGGTAGATCTTCGTGCCCAATCCACCATTCGCACGTACGAGTCATACTGGTGACAGTACCGTGCTTTTTGCTCAAAGCACTCACTCCAATCGCTTCCGGCCAATGATCTCACCACAGCCTTCTTCCTCTTGCAATCAATCCGATTGGATGCGACGCTAACAACCATCCGTTCCATCTGTTCCGCCATCTCATGCGCTCAATGGCTCCTAGGCACACCGTCCCCTATCAAGGGACCACTTTCCTCGCACGTCAAGGATTATGCCCAATGCACGTGTGCCCGCCCCCACCGGGCAAAGGATCCTGTGCCCCCCTCCAAGATCTACGACATGTGCGATGTCTACTTCTCCTCGCGCGACCCTGCCACCTTTCAAAAAGGGCTCATTCCACTCCTCATGTTCTCAGCCTTCTTGCACTTCTCCGGCCTCGTCGCCCTTCAGTGGCATCACATCGAATTCGACGCTGACTGCATGTGGCTCTTCGTTCCCCGATCCAAGACTGATCAAAGTGGTGCCGGAGCTTGGGTTCTCGTTGCAATGTCGGATGCTCGCCACTGTCCCGTTGCTCGCGTTAAGGAATTTCTCCTCTTGGCGGGACTCTCTCGCGCGTCCACGGGCTCCCTCATTCGCGTCTTTCGGCCCGGTTCCGGCGCGTCACCGTCAGACTCATCCCCGTCTTATACTACTGTGAGGAACTGGTGC